ACAAAAAAAAACGAAAACAAAAACATCGTTGCTTTAGATTTCTCTTTAAAAATTATTATTATTATTTAAAAAAAAAAAAACGTTTTCTATTAATTGAGATTATGTAAAAAAAACAAAAATTAAAAAAAAAAAAAGAAAAAAAATTGAAATTTGAATTGAATCGACCCATAACAAATAATTAAAAAAAAAAAAAACAAAAAATTTAATTTGTTTATTATTATTATTTGCATTATTATCATTATCATTATTATTATTTGCATTATTATTATTATTATTATTATTATTATTTTTACTTTAATTTCATTTAATAAATAAGTGAATAAAAACATTCGAAGCGTTGAAAAAAAAATAAAATAAAAACTGGCTCACCTACTAATGAAATAACTTGTAAAAATTGCATAAATTTTTAACCGGAACTAAAATTAAAAAAAAAAAAAAAACTTTCGAAAAATCGTTTTTGTGGTCAATAATAATAATAATAAAACACGTAAAGAAAGGTTGCAATCACTTTTTTTTTAACATCCAGTTTCATTTTCGTTTTTTTAAAATAATTATATAAAAATCGTGGGTGGATAGAAATAAATTTAAAAAAAAAAGAGGGGGGGGATTCGAGTAAGGGGTAAACGAAATACATACACGTTATTGTGTAATTGGTAGTTTTGTCTAAAAAAATACTCTTTAAATAAAAGTGTAACTAGAAAACGTATTTTTTTTTTTTTTTTTGCTTTCGAATTAAAAAATGAAATCGACGATGACGACGACGACTCGTCATTTGCCTACCTGAGCAAGTTTTAAAATACGAAAATGGTAAAATACGGCCAGGAAATGACGATGATGATGATGATGATGATGAAAAAATTACGAATAAAACAAGTTACTTTTTTTAATTCGTCGGAAAGAACAATATTTATTTATTGAAAAAAAAAAAAAAAATTGAGCAATAAAAAAAAAAAATCACGGAAGAAAATTTTCAAATGTTTATAAGAGAGTTTTTTAATGGAAAATTTCTTTTTTTTGTTTACGTAAACGAAAGCAACCGTAGAAATTTTCTTTTTTTGTTCGATTAAAATCTAATAAAACTGGGTCTTTTATAAAAAGAAATGGTACGCTGACAGCAGAAGAAAAAGAAAAAGGAAAAATTACCGTTGCAAGCAAAAGAAAAAATTTTAATTACACACGAATGCCAAAGTCTAACCGAATGATTGTTAAAAAAAAAAAAAATTTAAGCTGGAACTTGATGATCGTCAACCTCAATATATAAAGAAAAAACAAACCGTTATAACATCATTTACGTATAATTTTAAATGTTATGCACGAACGTAAGCTAAACATATGCGTCTATATTTTATTTAATCGGGGGAAAAATTAAAAAAAAAACGAAAATGAAAATCCTTTGATTTAACTGGAGAAATAAATTGTAATGCAGTGAGATATGGATGCAGATTGAGAGAGAGAGAGAAAGACAGAGATAGACAGTAAGAAGTAGAGAGAGAAAGAGAGAGAAAGTGAGACAGACAAAAAAGTAACCAGAAATGCTGACAGATAGAGAAGGAAACAGAGAGGGAGAGTAATACAGGTATACAGAAAAGTAAATAAACAAACGGGTAGAGAGACAAAAAGATAGACATACACGGCGAGGGAGAGAGAGAGAGAGAAACAGTTAGAAGTAGAGAGAGAGAAAGTGAGACAGGCAAAAAGGTAACCGGAAATGCAGTTAAATAGAGAAAGGAACAGAGAGAGAGAGAGAGAGTAATACAGGCAGACAGAAAGGTAGAGAAACAAAAAAATAGACACACAAGGGGAGAGAGAGAGAGGGAGCTTTTGGATAATTTCGAAATAAATTAGAATAATTGTTAGAAAGTAAAAAAAATTTGTCTCAATTTTACGAAAAGATTTTCGAGATTTTTTTTTCTCTCCACATTTTTACTCTCATTTAGCGACACGAAAAAAAAATTATTTTTTCCATAAATGCATTTTCGACGGATTCAAATTTATTATTATTATTATTATTATTATTATTATTATTATTATTATTATACCCATCACTTTGTGTCACTTTCTATAAAATTATTAATCGAAAAAAAAAAGAAAAAAATCGATTTGTAATTGTAATAAAAACAATACAAAAACCTAACGCGTTACGTTATTTATATTAATCTCCCCAAAAAAGTCGTCAACCTAAATAAATTTTATCGTTGATTTGACGTAAATTATTTAAGTGTGATTAATTAATAATATTAAATTTGAAAGAAAGAGAAGAAAAAAAAAAAAAACTTTCTTTGTAATTTTTTTTTTTTTAAGTACGAATTTTTTTTTTTAGTTCAGTATGGAAAGTGACATTATTATTATTATTATTATCGTATATATTATTTTCATATCAGTTTTTATTATTATTATTATTATTATTATTATTATTATTATTTTCTTATCTTAAAATCGTAATTTTTTTCGAAATCGTTTCAAAAATAAAAATTTAAACTCGACTGAAAATAATTTTTTTTTTTTTTTTACTAAATGAAAAACTAAAGTAAAAAAATAAAAACTAATTTTTTTTGGGGGGCGTTAATTAATTTACAAAAAAAAAAACTAATGTGAAATTTAAATTTGTAATTTTTTTTTAGTTTTTAGTTTTTAGTCTCACTAAATGGTTAAATACGCATAATGATTAAATTTTCACTTTTTTCTTTTTTTTTGCTTCGATAAAAACAATTGAAAAAACATTTTTCTTTTTTTTTCTTATTATTATTATTATTATTATGCAAAAAATTAATGCGAAAAAAAAGAAAATTCTATAATTTTATAAACGATTTTCTCCAGGTTTTCCATAAATTTCAAAAAAAAAAAAATTACCTACGTACCTATCGCGTACCTAAAATTACGCACCTATCGTCGTTAAATGCATTTTAATTTTTACTTAATGCAAATCCATTTGCAAATTTTTTTTTTTCTTTCCATGCTCGTAATTCGTAACATAATATTAATAATAGTTTCTACAAATTTTTTTTTCCTTTCTGTTTGTTTGTTTGTTGTTATTTTGTTTTTCTCGTTTCCGATTTAATTATTATTATTATTATTTAATAAAAAATTATTATGTGAATAATAATTAATTGACGTTCTCACATAAATTTTTTTCCTTTTTTTTTTCTTCTTCTACTTCTTAAGGGAAAATTTTCGATATTATTATTATTATTATTATTATTATTATTATTATTATTATTATTATTATTATTATTATTATTATTAGTAACTATCATTTCAATCGCATTTAGCCTAACGAATATTTTTGAGATTTAAATTAAAACTTTCAGAATAATTTAATTATTAAAAAGTAAAAGAGACCTAAAAGTATTCGATTGATTTTTACAAAGGTTGACGAAGTAAATAAAAAAAAAAAAACATTCCTGGAAAAAATTTAAATTTTCCATAAGTTTCCTTTTTGGCTAAATCAATATTTGTACGAAAAACTGGGATAAATAAATTTTTCAAGGATTAATTTAAAATTAAAATTTTCCACGGGAGCTCACGGTAAAAAAAATTTTAAAAACTTTTTTTGCGAAACGAAAAAATTCATTAACAGGCGAACGAATCATGAAATTATCCGAAAAAAAAATTACT